TTTGTAGCGCCCTTCACCCTTCAACCGTACTTGGAGAGTCATGGGGAGTCATAAGTGGGGTCATAGGTAGGGTAACTATAGTTATGACTCTTTGACACCACTTATAACTACCCATGAACCTCCAAGTGCCCTCCAGTGGTATAAGTGCAATGTGGAACCCTAAGCAAGAATATTCTGCTGGAGCCGGGGATCCTTACAGGAAGCCTTAAAAGGAACCCTGAAAAACGCTGCTATGGAACCCAGACGTCTTTGCAGGAACCTCTCAACAGGAAGCCCGCAACCCTTGCTATAGAACCCAGAATCCACTGTCTAAACCCTAAACCGTGACCCTAAACCCTAAATCCTAAACCCCTAAGCCCCAAGATTCAACTGTGGCAATGTAGGAACATGATGAAGAAATCCTGGCCCTAAAACACCCAAAATAGTAGGATTCATAAAAGGAACCCTAATAACTGATGAAAGCCCCGGGGTTTCTTAAGCAGGTTCCCATACTACCCTTATAGATCCCTTATAGTTAACCCGTATAGATCTCTTATAGTCACCCTTATAGATCCCTTATAGATAACCCTTATAGTACCCATGTTCCAATCGGCAGAAGCCCAGAATCCAGGTTTGCCATGGCTGGAAGATGGCGCGCTAAGTCCAGGCCGGCCTTCCACAAAGCTCCCCCGGTGTAGAGGGCTCCAGCTTCCTCGACACCTCGGGGTTTGGGGTTTGGGGTCTAGGGAGACTCATGCGATCTTGGATTCTGAGTGGAGTTTGAAAAGTAGGTCTCCCAAAATCCATTCGAATTCTTTTCAAAACTCGAAAAAATTTACATTAAAAAGCTTAGACGTGGGGTTTAAACTCTCGCAACTCGGGCAAGCCAGACGAGGTCCATGCGTTCGGGTCGGCAACTGATGATGCACTCAGTCGTGGGGTTTAGGGCTTCGGTGGTAGGGGTTTCTGGTCGGCTTTATGGCCAGCTTCTTCAGCAATTTGCTTGCCGAAAGCAAAACGACGAAACCGTTGAACTTTGAGACCAATCTTCAAGTATGCGAACCCAACCAGCTGAGAAGGCGGGCGTCGGTACCTAGTTGTTGTTCTAACCCCAAGAGGCCCAAAGGTTGGTTCTTGGATAATTAGCTGAGACACTCTCGATCCAGGTTTCCAGTAGCAGTGAGCCGAGGTCATCCATCCTGGATTCTCATTCGGAGCTTTGTCGTTTGCGGTTTCATTGCGTAGCATCTTCCCGAACATACATACATACACGCATAGATAGATTGATAGATAGACATTAATAGATATCCGTATCATGGCAAGTTAAACCAAGGTCCATAACGACAGCCCAGCATCTCCACCGACTGAAACTTGGTCCCCATCGCCTGGACACATGCACTGTCACACACCCCGCCCTGTGAAGCACAGGCTACAAACTGTAACCGCAAGGCTTGCGAAGTTCAGCTTTCTTCTGCTACGAGGAAACTTACACTGCTCAAGACGGAATGATCATCGCATGTCTTGGCCGTCCTAGAACCCTAAACCTTTTCCACAGGCTTGAGTAGTGCTCGCCAGGCCTCGAAGAACACCTGAAGCCCTTTATTCGGCAAAGCTCGGGGAGCCTGGGCGAGCAGCTCCTCCGCTTCCCCGGCCAGGGCCGGCTGCAGCTGCACAGCGACACCAGCCGCCTTGGCTGCCACCTTCCGATGCAACAGTTGGGGGTTTTGGGGTTTCGAGTTTTTTTGACACTCACTCTCGGACAAGCCTGGCAAGGTCTGCAGAACTAGGTTCGGCGTAATTCGTTATCGAGTTTTAGGGTTTTGGGTTTACGCTCTGGCATCTCGGTCAAGCCAGACGAGGTCTCGGGTGTTCAGAATACTTTGACTGGGGTCGGCAGGGTATAGCTGACAGGGGTTTGGGGTTTAGGGTTCAGGGCTTAGGGTTTCGCAACATGGAACCCGGAGCACTACAATCAGGAGGGCTTGGCTGAGAATGCTGCTGATAGTGATAGCGATGGTGATGAAGGTGATTGTGGCACTTTTGCTGTTGTTGGTACTGTTGGTGCCGACTTTTGTTCCTGTTGAGGTTGACGTAGGTGTTGGTGAAGCTGAAGACATATAACCAGAGAGATTACAGGCCGATTTCCCCTAAGCTTATCCTCTTCCGGGGCCTTCAGCAAGGACTCCGGCCCAGCCTTGCAGAGCTTAGTTTTAAGTTAAAGAAAAAACTGAACACTGCGAAGTTTAGACTCCCAGTTGCCTGAGCCCCAAGCAGCAGAATAGGGATCCTCAGGATCCATCCGGGCTCTACAGTAACCCTAAGTTTCAAACCTGACCCATGTAAGCTTGAAGCCAGAACATCTTACAACAGCCGAAGAATAGACGCAAACGGCATAAGGACCAAAAACCATCTTGAAGTGAGATGCCTATAATCGACATCATAAGCCCCAGAAGCAAAAACACCAAAAAAATGTCTACGAAAGCCGTGTAGAAACCGTGCTCCCTCCGATCGCCTCAGGTTCACGAGACCGTAGGCACCAGAAACACAAACAACAAAACCACGTCTACAGCCTCAGCTCTGCCGCCGGCCAGGCGCCGGCGCGCAAGGCGCAGCCACTCGCCGGCCCACTCGGGTTCAAAAGGCGGCTGGGCGGGGTCGACCTCTCTGTTGGCGCTCTTGCATTTGTTCTTCTTTCTGCTTTGTTGATTAAGCTCAGGGATCTTGTGCGGGGTCTGCTATGGAGCTTTACAGTTGAAGGCCTTTCTCTTTAGGGGTATTTCGCCTGTTCAGCGCAGGGCTCACTCTCGGAAGCCGACCTCCTGGGTTTGTCTCTCTAAAGTTTGGAGGTTTAGGGTTTCGACTCGCACACTCGCACTGACTTCTGGAGGTCTGAGGTGGCTTTCAGGTTTAGGCTATAAGGCTTGGATGTTTTTGTTTAGGGTCTCTCAAACAACGAGGCTTACGTTTAGAAGTCACGCAGAGGGACCGGACCTGACCAACCAAACCAGGGGCGTGCGTGGACTGAAAAGTCTGAGACAGAGTGACAAGTACATTCACAAAAAGGGGGAAGCCCATCACTGTCCTGGTGCGACTGAGGGGCGATTGCACTCTACTTCTGCACGAAATGTTTAGAAAGGGCGTCACCACATGTCACCACATGTAACTGTAGTATACAAAACGTGGTCAATGCGGCCAACCAACAAAACGACACAATTCCAAGCCCCGACATAGTGTAGATCCCAAACTAGTAGGCGCCCCGTACTTTCGAGGGTGGACGCTTCTATGATCTTGCGTCTCTTCTTCACGAGTCCACAAACCTCAGACCCTTAATTAACCCCGACAGCACCATCATCCTTGTAATAAGGATCCCACTGTTTAGGGTACTATATTAGGGTTCCCTATATTCGGAAACCCCATATGTCAACACCACCATTATCGTCATGAGCCCCACGAGAAATCTTGAAGGAAATTCCGATGTTGGGGACCCTTTGGCAATCTATATTAGATCCCTTCAAGAACCCTTCAAGACCCCTCTAGACCCCTTTCAAGGAACCCTTAAGAATGGGATTCCGATTTTTTGGGCCCCACGCCTTGATAACTCCGGGCTCCATGGCCGAGGTTGGAGGGATTTCCTACTCGAAACTCCCACGGAAATGGCTGAAAAAGTGCTGAGAGCACCTACCATGCGGCTTTGCGAAAGCAACGCGTTAGATGCTACCGCTACTTCTCACGCTACCCCTACTGATGCTGATGCTACGGCTGCTGCAACGGCTCACAACCTAAAAGCACAGTGAAAGCTCCGAGCCCAAAGCCTCCATCTCCTCGGCCCGAAACCCGTGGAGACCGCTTTCAAACCCCTACCTCAAACTCGACGGTTGAAACAATGGGCCCCTAGTATGGGCCCTTAACCCTGGGATCCCTATATACCGACTATATACCCTATATATTATCGACTCTTAAGGGTCCCTCGAACCCCCTCAGAAAGGCCTAAGGGCCCATATTAGGGCCCATACTTCCAACCTGGGACAAACGCCGAAGCTCCATGGCCATGGACTCTACGCTGGGGAGGGGCCGGAAGAGCCGTTTGAGACAACACCGCTCTTCGAGAGGAGCCTATCTTATCCTTTCTTGTCCAGGGTCTAAGTCTAGGGCTAAGGCCTCGTAGACAAGAAACCCATTTTTCTGGAATAAAGGTTTACGCATATAAGCCTAACAAAGCTGGGGGTTCTCTATCCAACTGAAACCCCAACCCACCCGCCCGAAGCCCTCAAACCCTGAAAACCCCTACACAAGCCCCAACGGTTGAAGCCCAGCTCCCCTAAATAAGGGGCTTATAGTGTTTCATGTGGGTTCTATTGAAGGGCTTTATGAGGGCTCTCGAAGACTTCTCCAAAAAATGCCGGCGTCACCTGGCTAAAGGGAACTTCTCATAAGCTCCTGCTGCTATGGGTTTCCTATTTTCCCAGGGGTTCAGGCTTCACAGCTTCACATTTTGCACGCTACTCCCTGCCTCGGCCTTGCAACTTGGAATTGGGTGGTTTCTGGAACCTGTGTCGTTGCTGAAGTGGCAACTTCTGATACAGGTTCCACACTGCGACAAAATTTTGCATCTGAAACTATCAGGGGTCCTTGCCAACTAGCATCCTCATCATACTGCCTAAAACATATAGCATCCAGTCACCAAGATCCCTGATGTAAGCCCTACTTCAGATCACTTCACTTCGATGTCGGTCAGACTGAAGAGCTCCGAAACGCCCGATGCAGCCAAGAAGCCAAAAACGTTGAGATGGAGGTTCTGCGGTTTCAGTCCTCTGACAGGTCCAGGGTTTCAGGGCTCAGAGTTTTTAGGCTTGGGGCTTCCTTATGGCTTAAAATCAAGGGCTTTTTCAGTTGAAGGTGTAGGGCTGTACGGTTCAAGGTTCCGGGTGCCCGTGCTCTGTCAAAATGCTCACAGAACCTTTGCCTGACACCCTGCCGAGACCCGGAGTGGCGGGTGGTCCTGTCCTCGTGTTTGCTCGGCCTCAATGCAAGAACCCTCGCGGTGCCTGCAGCATCGTTAGGGCTGGAGGGTGAAGGTCGCGCTTCTAGGTCCAACCCTACTGCATGGCAAAGTCATCGCAGAGCTTGAGCTAGTCCAGACTCAAGTAATGCCATTTCTAGTAGGACGTTCATGGGTAGTTATAAGTGGAGTTCTAAGTCCCCTAATATGGGTCCCATAACTATAGTTACCCTAGTTATAACTTATAACCCTACTTATAACTAGCCATGAACCTCCAAGTAGTAGGATCCTTCGCAACCCCCCCGGTCGGCAGGCCCAGGCCTCATCCAGTCGTCTGGTGGGCAGCGCGGGCAGCTCGGGCAAAGGATCGGCCGCCGGGCTGGTGGAAATGGTCGTCGTTTCCGAGGTAGTTGTTGTCTGTGTGGTGTCTACTACCGTAGTGGTCTCCGAGACTGTTGCTGGCTTCCGGCTGGTGCTTGGCTTCGAGTGGTTGCCGAGGGTACTGGTGCTGACGGTCGCTGCCAGAGTGGCGGTGCTGGCTGTTGTGTGCTGTGTGGTGTTCGGAGCTTTGGCAGGCTTCCCTGCGCTTGTTGACATGGTGGTATTTGCTCCTGTGTGGTTCAGAGTCGCGTTTCTGGTCTCTTGGCCGATGGCCGGCGCCCGTGTGGCGGTTGGCTCTGTGCGGTTCACAGTGGCATTTCTGGTCTCCGGGCCTTTCGTTGGCTTCCTGATACTTCTTGCTGGTGTGGTGCTTGGTGCCGTGCGGTTCATGGTGGTGTTTGTTGCATTCTGGGTCTTTGCCGTGGTGCTCGCTTGGGTGGATGTGGTTGCTGTGGTTGCCGTGGTTGTGGGAAGCGTGGTGGTGATGCTCGTGGTCACGGCTCCCGGCTTGGCCCAGAGGCTGAAGCCAGGCGCTGGGAAGCAACTGCCGATGTCGACCTGACGATTCAGGGAGGGTATGCATGCTTTGAAGTGTTTATACTATACTCAAAGTCAGGAACCATAAAGGACTAGCAGCTAGCATTGCTTATCATGCAGGCCCACTCTCGCAGAAAAACAAGAAGGCTTCCATCAAAGGAACTCTAGCCCGGCTCATCTGCGCATGGTGACTTCCATGGTTGAGCTCCCCCTGAACCCCTCTACAAACCCCGCCCACCTGCGTGCGCAGGAAGCAAGGGCTTGGGTCATAACTTTCGAGAACGACCACAGCCTGGAGGATGCTTCTCTTTTGGGTTCCTTAACGGGATACTTACATGGTTCTTCAAAGGGATCTATAAGTTATGTCTATAAGGGGTTTAGGGTTTGGGTTTCAGGGTGAGTGAGGGAAGGGGCGGAAGACTTGACAGGTAAGGCAACTTAAGGGCACTAGAGTATGAGGCAACTCTACGGTCCGTTCATGGGGATAAGGTCACCACCTTTGCAGGGAACGAGGGACGTGCGCACGTCGTCCTTGTCATGGTATTTTTCGAGCCCCTTTGAGGGTGAAGAGCTCAGGGTTTGTCGGTTTGGGCGTTCTCTCATAGCTTGAAGTATTGCAGTCCTGGCCAGCCGAGCTCGGGAGCTTGTGCTGACAAGCAGACTTTTGGACGAGGTTTTGGTAAAAAGTGTTGAGGAGGGCATTGCTCCAGCTGCGAAATGAATGCCTCCTTGTGCCTTGTGCTGGATTGCCTCTAAGGTCTCAGATCTCCTGGGCGGCCTAGATCTGGGACAAAACGAGGACGCTCATGCAGCTGATCTCCCCTTCATGGTACACAGCGTTACAGTATCAAGCCACTTGCACTAAGAGGAGTTGGAATAGCACGCCACCAATTGGTGGCCATCGTCAGCAGCAGCAAGGAAACAGGAAGCAAGAAAAGTGCAACAGCATCAGCAGCAACAACATCACTTTGGGCAACTCAACAGATAATCAGGCAACAATGCGGCTCAAAGCTTTTCATCAATGGGCCGTGCATAAGAACGGGCTTCGAAGTTTGGAATGGAGGCATGAAGGAGCTAGGATTCTGCAAGCCAGGGCGATCTGCAAGGGCAAGGCAGGGCGGGCAGGGAGGCTCCACGATGGCAATGTCGGTGGAAAGGGCGATCACTACAACTACAACCGAAGAAGCAGAAGCAACAACACCCCCATGGCCGCCGTTACCACCATCACCACCAGCAACAATACCACGAGCATCGGCACAAACAACCAACAGCAGCGCTGGCAGCATCAACAGCGGCCAGCACAAAAACACCCGGCGGCCCAGATTACACGGAAGAGCAAGCTCGGAATTGAGCTCCGGAACAGCCAAGCACCGAACATCGAAGCCTTGACTCTATAACGGCTACTATCAAAGACCAAGGGCAACAAGCAATCAGCATCATGTGAACCGCTGTGAAAGTAGAAGAAGCATGCCGCCAAACAAGCAGGGTATCCATCCTAAAGCAGACAGCAGCAGCTCAGTAAGTAGGTTGTAAGTAGAGCTATAAAACACCCTAGCAGGCCCTAGCAATAACACGACTTACAGCCGAATGACTAAGCCCCGCTGATTCTGCGAAAGCTCAAAGCCCGGGTCTAGCACCGCGGGCCTGGCAATCAGTGATATCTTCGCAAGCCTTCAGGCAATCCAGCGGATGCATTGAACCTCAGGAAAAAAGGGGAGAACGGTACGAAAAACAGCACCGGACACATGACACCCTAAACTGCTTTATCCGAAACGCTTACAGAACCCCACCCTAAACCCTAACCCTAACCCCCCCCCCTCCAAGAAAAACCTTCAAACCACCGACCTGCAGCCTGATTGTGATTCCTGACAAAGCTTCGTAAATCTCCAACGAACGAAGGCATCAGACAACTTCCTTCGAAACTAAACCACAGAACGGTTTCGACGCTCACACTCGCACAAGGCAGGCAAGGCTCCCGGTTTAGGGCTATGGGTTTAGGTTTAAGAAGGGCGACCCGCAGCCTTTTCAGAGGATCGGACCTGGGAGATCATCATCTTAGTCCAGCATACCCTAAACCGCCTAAACCCTAAACTCTCAATCATGGAAGCTTTTGGCATGTTTTCAATAACGGGGCACAAAGTCTCACCGAAGATCCGTGCAGCTCGAGAATTCAAGGGCTTGTTAAGAAAAAGGGCTCCTTGGGGGGCATCACGAGTAGAGGGATTCTAGTCTTGTATTGAAGGACTTATAGTTGGCTCTTTTGTGGGACCTTTTCAACAGACCGCCTAACTCCAAAAGCAGCTCCAAGGAGCCTTGTGTGCCAGATTGCGCTCTCCACTTTAAGAAGCACTATCCAGGCCCCTTTACTTTAGGTTCTGCCGCGTTCCTGCGACATCTCAGCTGTCTAGACGATCCGTTTCGGGCTTCCAGCCGGCCGGGAAGCTGTGAAACGGCTCTGGCTGGCCGGAAAGCGCCTGCGCGCCCTGCCCTGGAACAAGCAGGTGATGCAGGAATCAGGAAGGCATGCCTGCTCTCTACGTCCTTTTGACACTGGAGTTGCTGGCTGCCAGAACATGAACTACGTCCTACAAATCCTCACCTTTCCAGCCGAAAACCCAAAAAGCCGCCCAAGACTCCGAAACCCTGTAAGACCCCATTTTTTATCCTAAAGCCCTCAAGTTCTTGCGACGGCGACTGTGCACACCCAGTTGGCACTGAGATCCGTTTTTTGGGGGCGACGTCAACCTAGCAAGGAAAACATATTCTTCGCAGTATATCCCTACGGTGGTAACTTTCACAAGCTTCTTTAGCATCCCTCCGGTCCAAACCACAAAATCGGCCCTCCACCCCGATCTGTTCTTGAAAAGTTCCGGTGTTGAGCCCTTCAGAAGCTCCGGCCTTAACCTTTGCTGTCTTAAGTCAGTGTTTTGCCCTCAGATCCAAAACAAGGGCAATTTCCGATTCGGATATTTTGGTACACTTCTCGATCTGTATTCGGGTATTAAGGCATTGAGGTTTTAAGTATCCAGGGTGTTTAGTGGTTTTGGGCGTTCGGGTCTATAAACGCCTTAAGTAACGTCTGATGCCCTAAACGGGTGCTTCCGAAAATAAGGGACCTGGATATAATACCCAAAATGGTAGGATCCTGATTATAAGGACCCTAGAATAAGGTACCCCTAATTTTCGGAAACTCCCAAACCCCATGGCAAACTTCACACGGGCCTGGGACGCAGTTGATGTTGGCATGATCGACCCATCCTGGAAACAAAGCGCGCCGACGAAAGGATGTCGTCATGTGAGTCGGGTTTCCATAATAGGGGACCCTAATATAGCACCCTAAATAGTAAAGTCCTTATAACAGTAGAAGCCAGAAAGTTGGAATATCATTATCGTAACCCCTTTAAGGTAAATTATAGGGGATCCTACCATTAATCCCTTTTCAAACCTTCTGGAGTTCCCTGTATAAGGACCCCAGATAAAGTACTCTAATTTTCGGAAACTCCCATGTGAGGATGTCTGTCTAAAGGGTCGGATGGGGATTAGGGGGTCTCTTTTCTAGCGCCTTCGTAATTTGAAGGGGGCGTGGAAATGTAGACATGGAAAAGGAATACAGGGAGATAGATTTACTAACTGTGCCTACTTCATGTTAATGCTGTTTGGACTTGTTCAAACCTCGAGAGGAGGGCTTCACTGTCTCGCACACCTTCGGTTCCCAAGGTCTACGGCCATGGAGGCTTCTAACACCATCACCAGGGGCATGCCAGGCGAAGCGAGCAGGAGTAGTAGTGGTAGTAGGAGAAGTACAGTAGCAGTAGTAGTAGAAGTAGTAGTAGTAGTAGTAGTAGCAGTAGTAGTAGTAGTAGAAGCAGCAGTAGCAATAGGAGTGGAAGTAGGAGTAGAAATAGGAGTAGGAGCTGGAGCAGTAGCAGCAGCAGTAGCAGCAGCAGTAGCAGCAGCAGCAGTAGCAGCAGCAGTAGCAGCAGCAGCAGTAGCAGCAGTAGTAGCAGCAGTAGCATAGTAGCGTAGCAGCAGTAGCAGTAGCAGTCGTAATTTCGCAGCAGCAGGAGGAGGAGGAGGAGTCGTAGTAGGTAAAGGAAGTAGTCGTCGTCGTAGTTGTAGTAGTTGTTGTTGTTTTGTAGAAGTAGACGCAGCTGTAGGGCAGTCGTCTAATAGTAGCATCAACGAGAGGGGCAGCAGCTGGTAGCAGTGGCATGCAGTGGCCAGCAAGGACAATGATTCCTCCTCAAACTCTTTGCGAATGTTTTGACAACTGCTGCTCAACCTGCCTGCAGGTTTCGGCGTTCACACTCGGACAATCCAGGCGAGGCATATGCCTGAAGGTTTAGGGTTTAAGCACACCTGGGCGAGGTTTTTAAGGATTTCCGGAAGTTGGGGACTTGAAGCCGCTGCATCCACACCGGATGGCCTGGGATCGGAAACGCCTCCGCCTCGGCGAGGCAGCTCCACCACTCGGAAGGAGACCTGCTTCAGCGGGCTTGCAATTTCATAAGGGCCCCCCCTTCTTCATGTACGAAAGAAGGAAGCTGCTAAGACGGAAATGAAAGGCAAAAGAGATCCAAAAGCGCAGGGGTTGAACCCGGAGCCCCAAACGAGATACTTCAGAGTTTCTCTGGGGCCTTAAACACAAGAAACTTGAACCCCAAGTTCGGCGAGCCTTGATAAACACACCCCTTGTTCTAGCTTCTTATAAACATGAACCACAATCAAAGCCAAATTCCCAAACAACCTCGACTCACTGCTTTCCATGCGAACACACACGAACAACAACTTCAAACGAGGAAGGCTCAGGTGAGCCAGGTAATGATTTAGGCCCCTGCAGATCCCTTATGGACCCTTTTGAAGGAACCTCTCAAAGGAACCCTAGGAACCCTTTAAAGGGACCGGACCCCTTTTTAGGAACCCTAGGAACCCTTTAAAGGGACCCCTTTTTAGGAACCCTAGGAGCCCGGGCTTCTTTGGATGGAAGGCCACGCTGGAGGAGCCGCAGGGGCCCGAGAGTCTGGGCTGGCAGCCCTGCGGCAAAAAGGGGATCTAAAGGGTTCCTTAAAAGGGGGTCTATAAGGGTTACTATAAAAGGGGATCTCTAGGGTTCCTTAAAAGGGGTCTATAAGGGTTCCTTAAAAGGGGTCTATAAGGGTTGCTATAAAGGGGTCTATAGGGTTTAGGGTTTATAAGGGATCTATAAGGGTACTAGTACTATAATAATAGGGGCCTTAGTAATCCTATAACTTACCTTTGGCGCGCGCTTTTTTGGGGCTTCTTGGGGGCTTCATGGGCAGCTATAAGTGGGGTTATAAGTAGGGTGACTATACTTATAACCCATATTAAGGGACTTATAACCCCAGTTGTGTTTCTTACCTTTGGTTAGTAGGGAATGGGGATGGGGAAAAATTATTACTACTACAACTACCATTCTTCCATTCCCTACTAACCAAAGGTAAGTTTTTGGGGCTTCTTGGGGCCACGTGTACCGTAAACCCTAAAATCCTACACCAAACCTAGGCCCCCAGAGAGCCCAATACCCCTTAATTAGGAGTTTGGCTTAAATTATGGGAGCCTTAATATTATGATTCAAGCTATCTTGATTAAGGGGTATTGGGTTCTTTGGGCATGGCAAATGGGAAGACTCTCGCATGAGCTCAAGACAGCGCTGGGTAGGGGATAGACGGCTCACTTGCGTGCGGAGTTTCGATTTTGTGTTCAAGAAGCAAATTTTAAAGAAACGATTAGTGCTTAGGGCTGTCTGAAGTTATGCCGTTCCTCTGAGTAAAGCCTGCAGAGCTTGAACAGTTCCCAATACTGCTCCTTAGGGCGAGGGCTCCTGATTATACTTAAAGCATGCGATGACCCCCAAACCTGAGTCTAGTTACAAACTGCACTATGTTGCAGGCTGCTGTCGGCTGGGGTCTTCAGAGGCTTCCCTGAACAACTGTGGGGGTTGCTGCTCTCGTTCCGGCTCGCGTGAAGACTGAGCCATATTTCCTCCATGGTTGTTCTGAGGCATCTATCTCCCTCACTTCCGCTGCAAGACAAGCAGTGAAGATTAAACCCAGCTAGACAGCATTAGTGAGTTGACTTGTAGGATTGTGGATTGCAGCGCTCTGCTTCCAGGCTCACGTGTCCGTAGTAGCAAACTCAACACAGCACTTTCATCGGGGTGATCCTGCTTGGATCTCTTGGCCACATTTCCGGATCATCTCCTCGGATGCCTTTTCGGCTCTGACGTCGGCAGGAAAGCGTAACATGTGGACCCCTTAGCAGGCCCTCACTTCCACGACAGAGCTCTAATTACACAGCCGGAGGGGGCTTTCTTCTTAATGGGTGCTTCTCTGAAGGCACCTATTTGTATACATATACAAATCTATGTAAGGGTTCAAGGGGCCCATGAGGGTCTAGAGTCTACCCTTTTTTGCTGCAGGCTTGCTTGCAAGGACGCCTGGTAGTTTGCCGCTCTTCCCGAGTCTACCCTAAACCCTAAACCGTCCAGTGTTTCAGCACGGCTGACACCACTCCTTTGGCCCAAGCTTGGGCCTTTTCGTGCAGAAGCTTGGGCCAGGCAGGAATGGCCTAGGCGCGGCACAGCGGCCTCTACTTGGAGGTTCATGGGTAGTTAGAAGTAACTATGTAGTTATAATCCATATTAGGGGACTTACAACCCCACTTAGAACTATCCATCAGCCTCCAAGTACAATCTACAAGCTCGTTCTCGGAGACAGCCGGAAACCCCGAACTCAGATTCCAGTATCGTCGTTACAATTGGGAGTCCGAATGGACGTGTCTGATATTAAACACCTCCGCTTGCATGTGGAGAGAGAAACCCGACTACATCACGATGAAAGTCAAGACTGATACCAGTGACGGTGATGTGAACGATGATGACGGCTCGTTCTGTGGGGGCAGGAGCACTCGGAGCAAGATACTTTGACGGACACTTTGGCGCTGGCCGCACTGAAAGCAGGCCACTAACCGTTCTACACAGCTTGGAGGTCGCAAGCTGACTCGTAAAGCTCTTCTTTATGCCTTCGCAGGTTTGAATCTTTTCGTATTTCTCAGTACTCCTCAGTTTTGAAAAGCAAACCACAAAGACTACATCTTCAACACTGGGCTCGGAGACAAACCCTAATTCCAAACCCTCAGGCATCGCCAAGCTCTGACCCCCCGTCTTTCTAGGCTCGAGAGAGGTTGTCTGCGGAGCTCTGGGACCGAATGCCCGGCACTTCCAAACTAGAAATCCAAAACCCTGTCGTAAACCCTGGATTGCTTCCTCCAGCCGAGCCCCTGACAGATGCCCCAGCACGGCGCAGGCAGCTCTCTAACCAGAAGTCCTCTTCAGGAATTCCAGTCGCAGCTAGGGCTTAAGGTGTAATTAGGCTGTAGTACTGTAGAGGAGAAAGAGCCATGACGGAGTTCCTGATGCACGTAGGACAAGATGCTACTCATGGAAACCAGAGTGCGGAAGCTCTCTTTATACCCCCGATTCTTGTCCGCGCCGAGAACAAACACACTCGATGACCCGGGGAGTTCCGCATTTTGCGCGTTGCGCATCGGCTTCACAGGAGCATTTCAGAAAAGGAGCAGACCCTGATATAAACCCTAGACAGTAACGTGAATCCCTAGTAGAACGCTGATTGCGAGGGCCCCATCCGACCCCGAAGTAAATTACGTCACTTCAAAGCAGGCTGTAATGAACAGCCTCTATGTTGTCTGGCAGGGCCTGGAATGTCGAATTTGGGAGCGGGGGCTTTGAGGAGTGTAGGATCGTCTTACGCCCTGAGGTGCTAAAAATTGAATAGTCTCTGGATGCGGGCTGTATGTAGAGCTTTCGGAGGTGGGGGAGCAGAGCAGGATATAAGCACCTTCACAAGTAGACAACTGCTTTGTGTAGATTCATTGTATCGGGACTCTGAGGAATATCAGTACCAACTACTCGCTGTCTCTTGATATTCGAAACCTACACTTTTGACAAGACCGATGGTTTCGGGTTCTCTGGTGTTTGGTGTTCAGGGTCTGCGGCCCCTTAACCAAACCCGAATGTGTGAGCTGACTACTATACCCCCCTTAGAACCATCATAAAAATGCGGTGTTTACTAGCCTTTTGGGTATTATATGAACAAAAATCAAAAAGTAATTCCTAAGGCGACCATAGACGATAGGTAGGTCTTCGGGTGTAGCCAGGGGGCCAGCAATCAAGCAAGCTAAAAAAATGGGCGATGAGCCTCCAACAGGCACTGCCTTGCTTTCCGGCTCCGGCCGGGGTACTCTCTGGTGTTGGGTAGTATGATTAGGGGGACCCCTTAAAGGGTACCCCTTCTGAACCCTACTTCTGGCTCTCTTAAAAGGGGCCTTATTGAGAGGGTCTATATCCCCAAGGGTCCCTTAATCCTAACTCCCAGGTGTGGGCCGCAGAAAGGATATGTTTTGTGGTGTTATTCTTAAGGCTTTGATGGGAACTTAAGGCTTTGGCGGTCTTTGGATTCTACAGCTTAAGGATATCAGGCGCTAGGATTGAAGACACTTCATTTTTAGGGTTAGGATTTGAGGGCCTCGAGGCTTTAGGTGTTAGGATGTAGAAGATTTAGTTTAGAAAGGGAAGTCCAAGCTCAGACATGGAGTGAGCTCCTCGTAGGCGATGGCCCCACAAACGTCCCTTGGCTGCACGCTCTGGTTTCAGCGGATCTAGCAATGATCCTGCATCCTACAAAAACTCTCCACTGAACTCCGCTGCAGTTCCGTTTTGGTCAACCCAAGTTGGGATCCCATACTACTGCTACAAAGGGTGATCAAACGAGGAACTGTATTGCCGGCTAGAGGAAATCCAAGAACTCCAGACTACCCGAAACGCACGAACTCTAGAGCTCCGGTTTGTACCTAGTAGGCAAGGAACGTCGTGTCCAGCTGAACGGTGACATGTGAAGCCGGTTTAAGGCTTTGGGCCCTCAAATTTGGGCACTTGGCGGGGGTGCTTCTCTTTTGTTCAATCTCTCTCTCCCTCTCTCCCTCTCTCTCTCTCTCCCTCTCTCTCTCTCTCTCTCTCTCTCTCTCTCTCTCTCTCTCTCTCTCTCTCTCTCTCTCTCTCTCTCTCTCTCTCTCTCTCTGTCTCTCTCTCTCTCTCTGTCTCTCTCTCTCTCTCTCTCTCTCTCTCTCTCTGCTTGAGTGCCTGAAATTGAAGCGTACTATAAGCATCGGTGCTCAATCACTTGTAATAGCTGGCTTTGAAAATCCTGATCTGCAAAAAACAGCGGAAACACTGGTGAGGTTTCGAATAGCCGTGTGCAAATACATATCTTCAGATACCAGCCCGCAGCCCATGACCCTTGTAACTTAACCTCCTTGTAACATCTTACACTGCTAAACTCTCTTAAACCGTAAAGCCCTATAACACGCTCTGGACCGTTTTGAACCCTTTGTTTGGAGCTGGTCCCATGACACATGTGGTGATTTCTAAACACCTACAACAGTACCTTTTAGGGTCTCCATTAAAGCTAAAGCCTTGCAAGAATGAGCCTGCCATGTACCATTTGGGAGTTTCCGAAAAGTAGGGCTGCCTTATTTTTAGGGGTGCCTTGTTTTGGGGTACTTTACTACGGATCCTACTATTTTGGGGTGCTATACTCGGGTCCCCTGCTTTCGGAAACTCCCGTTTGGCGTCTCTCCTCTGTTTCCGAAACTCCCAGGCCTAATGTAGGGGCCCCAATAATTAGACCAGGGTTTTGATTTGAGCGTATACTTTTCTCTGTCAATAGTTAGACTAGGGTTTGAGGGTATATTATACTCTATCATTATACTCAGGAGCCCCGAGCCACCCAAATAGTATAGGTATAGGATCGAGATACGCAGGGTCGGCCGGGGGACACCCTTTCGGACCCTGTTTGGTGGGTCCGAAAGGGTGGTTCCCAGGGTCTCCCGTAGATCTGGCCGGACCCTTTCGGACCCACCCATTCGGACCCTGCTGGTAGTCATTGAGTCTGCGTCGGGCTCGGCTTGAATTTGGGTATGGCTCAACATAGTTTTCATGATATTCAGCATGGTTTCCGCATATATTTTTCCAGCACCCACGCAGAAGTTCACAGAAGTAGCAGGCAGCGGGCCTCGGGACAAGGCGCACACTCAAGCTTCCCAGGCCGTGGTTGTTTGCTCGGGTTCCTACCTAAGTTCGCGGGGCCTGCGCAAAAGCATCCAGAAACTCAAAATCCAGAATCCTTGGAAGAGCCCCTGAACCCATAAACCCCGAAACCCAGAAATTATTAACCCTTATGTCGCTTATGTCCCGCAGTAACCCAAAACCCCAAACGCAGAAACCCTAAACCCAGAAAGCCCTTGAACCCCTGGACATAAACCCCGCTCCCACAGGTGTGGGCGACGCCGGGCGCCGCTCGGTGGATTCCTGTTGCGACGCCCGGCGTCGCCCCTGTGGCGTCGGCATGTCGGCCACTCGATTCGAGCACGACATGTGACTTGCTTCAAGCCGCTATTGTGCTTCGGTGCAGCGTCCAGGGGTTTAAGGTTTTGGTTTAAGGGCTTAGGGATTCTGGGTTCTACAGGGTTTCTGTGTTTGGGTGTTTGCGGTTTCTGGGTTCAGCGGTTCTCGGTTCGGTGATTTTGGGTTTCAGGTTATGATGTCTGCGGCTTCCGGGGTTTGCGGTTTCTGGGTTCTGCATTTCTGGCTTCAGGAGTTTTCTGGGTTTAGGGTTTCTGCGTGCAGGGTTTCTGGGCTTACTCGCAGATTTGGGGGTTCAGAACTTCTGGGTTTAGGTGTTCTGGGTTGTTAGCTTCTGAGTTCAAGGGTTTGGAGTACAAGGTTTTGGGTTTCTGGGTTTTGACACTCACACTCGGGCAAGCCTGGCGAGGTCTGTAGCGATTAAGGACGAACATACAGGATCAACTTCAAGCCGATTTCACTTGAAGCCAAGCTGTTCATGCCAGGGTTTCTGGGCTATGGGCTCAGGGTTTCTGGGATCTGGGTTTAAGGTTTCTGGGATATGGGCTCAGGGTTTCTGGGATTCTGGGTTTAGGGTTTCTGGGTTCAGCGGTTCCCCTGTTCAGTGGTTTTGGGTTTTCAGTTTCTGAGTTCAGGCGCTTGGGTACAATGCTTCTGCGTTTGGGGGCTTGGTGGGTATCTGGGTTCAAGGGCTTTCTGGGTTTAGGGTTTCTGCGCTTGGGGTTTTGGGTTACTGCTGGACATAAGCGACATAAGGGTTAAGAATTTCTGGGTTTAGGGGTTTGTGGGTTCAGGGGCTCTTCCAAGGATTCTGGATTTTGAGGTTTTTGGATGTCTCTGGATTTTGGTGTATAGGTTTCAGGGTTTAGGTTTTCAGGGTAAATGTTTTGTACCACTCGCCAGCACACCTATTCTCTCATATTCTATGACCCCCATACAAGGCACTCCGGGGGTCTACAAGGTATTTCAATGCCTAGTGCCCCCCCCGTCAGCCACCCCCCAAAAGGCATTCTTTCGGTGCGGTGATACCGCAGGACTACCGCAGGCAAGTTAAATCTGGTTTTAACTGGCTTGCTTTTCTAATATCTGAGGTAGGGTCCGAATGGGTCGGGCGACCCTTTCGGACTCTGTTCCCAAGGGTACCCAGGGCCACCCTTCCGGACCCTGGATAAATCGAGGGTATGTATAGGTAATGCTTACTAAGCTCTCGCTATAGGTAATGTTTTAAGGCGCTTACATTAAACCCAAGCGGCCACTGGATGGCTTTCAAGGCCTCCCCAAGGCCGGTTCAAGGGCTTGGGGCAAGGGCTTTTTGTTCCCGGATACTTCTTTTCTTAGACGTCCCTTTTCCGTTCGCCATGCTTCAAGGGTTTAGGGCTTTTAGGGCTTCTGGGGTATTTAGGGCTTTGGGGGTCTAGGGTTCACATTGGCCACGGGCCGGCAACGGCAGGACCATCATGCGTTTAGGGTTTAGGGTTTGGGGCACTGACGAGCAGACATGAACACCAAGCACAAGGTGGGTTTCAGAGCTTTGCGGACAGAGTGGCTTAGGTGCGCAATGCTTGGGGTGTCGGGTGCAGGTTTCAGTTCGGGTACACTCCTTTGGGAGCTTCCCAGTCTCCCGGACAGGAACGCTCACACGGCGGCGTGGCCACAGTTTAAGCTCTGCTTGCGATGTAGAAATGACGAAAGAACCTGCGCATGCACTGGCAGATAAAGCATGCACATGCACACATAGATGTACAGGTATACATGCATATCTATGTAATTATGTGCGACCCGAGCCCCTGAGCCGTCCACCTAACATACCGTTGGACCTCGGCATACACACAGAATATCGGCCTCTCGCGAGATCACCTCGATGGGTCCATGCAGGCCCTCGTTACAATTCCTCGGCGACTGAAGTCTCTCACTGGGCCCTTGCTCTCTTGGCTTAGGGCTGGGTGTTTTGAGGACTACGGCTGAGGATTCTTTTACCTCCTATAGAGCAAGGACGAGCGAGGGCATTGCAGGGATGGGATTGAAAGTGTACTCACTATCACTAGTCTCACCACCATCTTGTCAGAGCGGTGCCGAATGCCCCGGCGCAGGATTTGGGCCTCAGGGTTTGGGGTCTCGGGGTGTTAGCCTAAGATAAGATTACAAGTGGACCAGATCGGATTCGGACACCTTTGAGTATATACGTCCAGACAAGGTGCAGCATACCTACTCAGCTACAAAGAAAATCTCTAAGCACTCGTTCAAAAACAGTTTCTGGTAAAGTGAAGGAACTAAACCTTACGGCGTGCGCTACTTTAGGAGTGGCATTCTCCCATCTTCTGATCTGAGTTGTTGTAAACCCTTAGTCTTAAACCTCGAAGTGCCGCCCAGGGCTCTGCAAGTAGGAAGATGGTGGGCTCGCTGGCAGCAGGGGACCCAGGCGATGCGGAAGGAAGACGGTGTCCGCATCCAACTTGGTGTTCGCTGATTGATTGCTTTTGTTGAGCCTGCTGCGAATCTAAACTCAGCCTTGTTACAAGATACTCTGACGACATCTGACGACACACTACCTGATGTCAACGTTCGCTGTTGCCATTGCCGACAGTGCGGCCGTTCATGTTCCCAATGAAAGGGGTCGCGGCGACCGATTTAGGTTTTAGTGACAGTTTTAGTGGGATTGCATGAAGTGCGGGCAATATCTGTCGGAGCCATGCTGATTTCTGGCAATTACGACTAGCACCGGTCAGCCCCCGAACTCGAAAAGCCTCCGCCCTTAGTCATCTTCATGGAAGACACTTTGACGGTCCATGCGTGCGCGGCAACTTCTGGCATCTGTTGGACTTCTTTCCATACCTGCACTTGGGTGGTTGTCAAAATTATGGTCCCTTCTTGGGTCCTTACTATTCACTATAATACGGCACCTAATATTTAGGGAACAAAAAAAGGGTCCGTAATTTTGACAACTACCCACTTGGAGGATCGGGAGACTTACAGTTGAGGGTTTCCGAAGAGGGGTCAGGGCACTTAGTAAGCAGATTTGTATGGTCGCTTTATCCGGCTTCATCAGTTGAAGGTTTGGGGGTTCAAAGGCGGCTTCGAGGCTCGGAGACTTCGTAAGTATGGGTGGTAGGACAAGAAATAAGGTCCCTAGTTGTGGTACTCCCACCTTTTTGGCTTCTTTATCACCTGCTTACTGAGCCCCCATACCTTTAACTCCCCTCACAATGCAACCCTGACAGCGTGGCGGAGGCAAGGATGGGTCGCAACTCGAACCATGCTCCGGGAAGCGGTTCTCCGCGTATCCCAAAGCCACTGCCGATACGCCTCGAAACATGAACTACCACCTCCGAAACCTCACATCAAACATCGCTTTATCCACCCCAACCCCATGCCTCCGTCGGAGTCTGAATTCCTCCGCCCTCTCCTGGCCTGTGCGAAAACCCGGGTGTTCATGGCGGTCTTCCATTTACCGCCATAAGCCACCTGGCCAGGGAGGAGATGGGAGTTCCCGAAAATGGGGGACCCTAATATAGTACCCTAAATAATAGGATCCTTATTATAAGGACCCCAAAATAAGGTGCCCCCAATTTTCGGAAACTCCCAGATGGGAGGGCCAGGGCCAGGGCTCTGGTTCTTGGCGGGATGTGGGCGGGTTTCTTGAAGGGATGTGACAGGCTGGTTCTGAGGTTCTTGCAGGGATGTTAAGATGTGTGAATTAGGCCTCAGAAACTAAAAGGGTCTACGATTTTTCGTGCTTCCCAGATTGCTGGGAAGCCCGCACGGCAGCGAGGTACACCGGAGCAGATCTTCCACACCTCAGCATAATGACCTTCTGACTTCTGAGAGGAACATTGCCAACACTGCACTCGCAGTCGCTACATCTCACATTTCCAGCTCAGCAAAAAGGCTTGGGGTCTAAGGATAGATGAGGAGTGTTCAGGCTTGGGCGAGTAAACCGGGAGTTAGAATTTAATTTTGCAGGGTTGAAGGGTTTACGGTCAAGCCGCTGCAAGGCCTTTCGACTTACACTGTTCGAGATTGTTCTAAGTCCAAGGCTGCACACGTCGAGCATAATAGAAAGGAAGCCGTGACTTCAAGAAATCAGGGGACCTGGTAAGCTGACTTTTACAGGGTGTTGGAAGGGTTCTATAGGGTTGCCTGACTCAAAACTGCAATAAAGGCGTACACCTCGAATCGTACGATTTTCACGACATAATGCAACATAGGGGACCAAGGCATAGACGTTACATCACAAGGGGGCCACTCATCTGATTTCAGGTGTATTCTAAATCGTAAACCCTAAACTCTTCTTGCGTCTGGGCTCTTACTGAGCCAGCCCAGGCTCCAACCCACAGACTTGCCTTTGCCCTAACCCTAAACAAACCCTACTCCACACCTAAAACGGGAGTTGTCAAAGTCTCCGACTTCGTCTCCTGCCTGCGTCTGGAGCCCGGGGATCACCTCCAGAGGAGTGGTTGTCAAAACTAGGGTCCCCTTTTGGGTCCATAATGTAAATACGGCACGTACTGTTTTAGGGTACCCAAAAAGGTATTATAGGGCACCTCTTAAGATTTAGGGTACGCAGAAAGGGACCCTAATTTTGACAGCTTCCCAGAGGACGCTTCTTTGGGCATTCTCAGGGCTAACGGTCTCGCAACTCGAAACTCAGCCATGTGCGGTCTGTGGGTTCGCGACGACACTACTGGTAGGGCTCCAAGGTTTAAGGGTTTAGGGCTGTCTTTCTTGAGATTTTGCGAAGGTGCTGAAACTAGTAAAATGCACCCACTCTGATTTAAGGATTATCGTAGGTAGGGATAGGGCCCCGACCCGAAAGAGGGCGAGTCAGCATGATTCGGGCGCCTACAAGCCGATCTTCAAGAATGCTTGATGATGAGACGTAAACCCTACTACAAGGGTCTATAGGAATCCTCCAAAACCCTACCGTAAGAGCCTGAAAAGCCTTATCATAAAACATTCATAAAACATTACCGAAGAACCTTCAGCCTCTGCAGCGCAACAGCTCAACTCAAGCCCGCTGAAGACCACCAACATCAGCTGAATTCCCCGAAGAGACGAAGACCAACCAACCCTAGAACCGAAAGGAGCTGATGTAGGGCCTGAATACTCAGGGCAACGTATGGGTTATCTTCTACTAAAAGCGCGACCAAGGAAATGCGAGGGATGGTGCTACCATATCATATTTTCATGCCCGTGTACTAAAGAGTTCCACCTGCCTTCGTAACTGGCGGGATATTCACCGTGCCGAAGACAGCAAAGGACGGGCAAGCGAAGAGGCCCTTGGACTTCTCCTTCTGACCTTCCACCAGTGAAGCAGAGCCCGTTTCGACTTGGAAAACACTTTTTGCCAGTGGGCTCTAGCCAGTCTACGACCCACAATCATCTTGACACTTTTTTTTGCATCGGGCCTCTACCACCTTGACACTAAACCCAAAACCCCTTTTTTACACCTGGACTACGCATATGCCAGGAACCCAAAACCCCTTTTTTCTAAACTTGGTACTCTTCTCGATCTGTGCGAGACCGTTTGGTCAAGTGAGCTTGGGGTTAAAGCTGTGACAACTCGATCCAGCCAGGTGAGGCCACTTGGTTCGTCGGTCGGTTGAAGTGAAACCACACTCTGGGTGGCATTCTAGGGTCGTGCATACTTTAGCCGACGTATATACTGTACAAGTTCATGGGCGGAGTGATGTTGACCGCCAACTTGAAAGGAACGGTGTCAGCTATTGTACAATCGCAGCATAATGGCGTTGATCCATACAATGTGTAGGGCACATTGGGCCATGCGGCGGCTTTTATGACACATAAGATGATGGCGATTCAGCGTGGCTGAACTCCAGGGGCTCGAACCAGTAGGAACAAGCACCGCACTTTACGTCCAGCTCGACTGCACAGAACCAAGTATCAAGGCTACGTGAGTAATTACAATCTGTGGCGGACCGCACACAAAAAAGCCATAAAGCTGTGTCATGACAACCAACCCAGTTTGGAACCACAGGTGTCGGTTGCCATGTTTGCAAACCGTGATGTGTCGACAACAGCAACAGCAGCGCAAGCAAGCAGCCGACAGGACGCAAGATAAATAGCTCCATTGCGATTGGTTGGAAGGGCCTTAACCGCTTCTAATTCCATCCCTTGTTAGTAGAATGCCCGAATAATCCGAATAGACTCTATTGTACTTTCACAACAATAAACGCGAATGACCTGGGAGTTTCCGAAAACAGGGGACCCTAATATAGTACCCTAGATAGTAGGATCCTTATTATAAGGACCCCCAAATAAGCTACCCTAATTCTCGGAGACTCCCACCTAGTCACCTAGTCTTGGGGCGCTTCTTTGGCCTGTGAGTAGTGGCTGCTCCGTGGTGGGCAGGCCCATCACCGTAAAGCAGAACCTGCAGGTCGCCATATCGCAGTTATAAGTGGGATTATAAGTAGGGTGACTATAGCTATAATATAATCCATATCAGGGGACTTATAACCCGACTTCTATCTACCCACGAACCTCCAAGTGCCCGCTTCACCAGGGAAGTTTCAGAAGGAACGGGAACAAAGTGTGGACCTCAAAATTACCGGGATCCGGACAATGAGGATCGCTGACCAAAATTCGTCAACATATATAACCTCCAAACATCTCGGAGAATGATTTCAAGTTTGAGTCATGGCCCTGCTGTCGTCTTGATAGAACTTTGGCCTTGCTGCTCAAGACGTCCTGGCACGCGGAATACGGGCAAAGGGCCCTTGTCAGGGAACGGTTGACCATCGCTACACCCGGTCAAAACGTAGACCTCGACCTAAAGCTTCAGATTCCCTTAATGGTTCAGGGTTTCGACTCTCACACTCGCTCCATGCAGAGAAGTATGTGAAAGCCCCTAACTAATGACACCTCCCAGCGGTGTGGCTGTCCCAACAGGGCAGCCCAGAACCCCAAGCCCTGAGGCAGCTAGAGATTCGAGGGGGAGCCCTGTTACCTTAATCAACTAGGAGGCAGAGGGTGTAACTTTGCTGTAGCAGTGCCGAGTGGCATGTCTGCCATCGGTAGCAGAGGTGTGCTCACCTTTGGGCAATGGTTCTGTGAGCGCGGCATTTCACTAGACCTTGTTGCATTTTGGTGCGAGTGAGCTTTTGCCTGCTGGCTTGGAGGCAAGTGGGTCCTGAAGTTCTTTGAAATCCTCTGAGAATCCAATCCTCTGGGCCCAAGCGCAACCGTTTTGCTTGCACGTAGGTCTATCCTTGGTTGTTTTGAGGTTTGGTGCTTCCGATACTCGTTTTATCACAGGGTGGATGGGAAGTCATGTCAGGAAGCGGCTGTTTCTTCAGACTCTCAAAGGGGAAATGGAGGGACCCTTAATGGGGACCCCTGAGACCCTATAATGGGTTTTGTAATGGGTATAGAATAGCTATATTAAGGGTAATACCTAGGGGTCCTTGTTAAGGGTCCCTCCTTTATCCTTGGAGTCTCTGTCGAGTATAGGTCCTTGCATAATCACCTGTGCCTGCTTATAGTCAAACCCTAGTCATCAACATGCTGACTCGGCTTGGTGGCACAGGGATGGGGTATTTTCGGGAGACCAGCCAGGAATACCAGCCATATATGCTCTCGGGTCCCGGGCCGCCACCCCCCCCCCCCCCCCCATGGTATCCCCCCCCCCCTGAGATGTAACCTGGACGTGTATCCCCTCGCTAGGCGTACAGGAACACAGGCACTCAGGTGTCTCTTTTGCTACAGGCGCACAGCTGTAGTCCACTGCACTAGAACCTTGAGCAACAGGCATGGATACATGCAAGTGATACGTGAAACAGACAGGCACCTGGATGTGTAACATTCAGTGTTTCAACCAGGCACAAATTTAAAACACGTAGAGCTGCATGGCCGTGGAGTCGGCAATCTACAAGCCTGTTATTGCTCTTGGTCGAATTAGCGGAGTATTGAGCTACATCTGCGACTTGAAGAGAATCTATACATCTCTAGCCTGAAGACAGCTTCAATGAAAAGAGCAGAACACGCACGAAACGCAAACGGATCTTCAACTGAAAACTTTTGCTTGAAAGTTGCCCACTTGTGTTTCAGTTCCCTCTCCAGGCGGAAAGCATACTGTAACATAAAGGTGTAAAGCTTAGCTTTACTTGATGCCAGCATGACATCTTGCGGCAAGGCAAATATATAAGGGCATTAGAAGTATCTTATCCTGAGATAAGTATCTTCCTTTGAGAAAGAGTTCTTTAGGAAGTACCTTTTCCTGAGAAAAGCATCTCCCTATGAAATGGCGAATGCTCAAAGTGGATACCTTCTTATGAAAGAAGCATTCCGTGAAACACACAGCCAGTTCAGTCGACGAACTCTAGGTCTGCATCCCAGGTTCTATCACGCCAATGATCCTCACCATGCCAACGGTAGATGTCGACAGTGTGAATCGGCATCACCGGCTGATGACGAACAGGGTCGTAACCGCGGGGATCAGCAGGGGATCTAGGTAGCGATATCTGTGGATCTGGAGCAACGTCTCCAACTTGTTCCAAAGGAACTTCTTCAGAACCATTGTCCATATCCACGTCCGAAGAATCGGAACCTAGTCAGTTCTTCCCCTTGTTCTTGCCCTTGGACTTGTCCTTGGATTTGCCTTTGGACTTGCCCTTGTCGGCGTCCTTCCCTTTTCCTTTGGAGGACTTGCCTCCTTTGCCGCCTTCTTTGCCACCAGGAGGTTGTGCGGGTTCTGGAGGACGTTGAGAACCAGAAGCTTTAGCACCAGAAGCTGCCTCTTCCTGAGAAGAGCTTGCTCCCTGTGGTGCGGCTGCAGGACCAGTAGAACCAGAACCACGCGCCTTGTTCAGCTTCTGTCTCTCTTTTCTTCTGTCCGCGGCTTCCTTCATGGTGTCGGGATTGCGGTTGAGCGCTCTCATCCTGCCTCCAGAGTACTGGTTCGCGTGAACCTCGATGAGGAGCGGAGTGTGAGCGTCATAGTCCCGATCGTTGAGAAGGTACGCGGCGCTGGTGGAGTTTAACAGCCACTCAGAGACATGGATGTCGAACTCATTCTTTGAAGACGGAAACTCCGCCCATTGATCGTCCGACATGCTGTGTCCCCATTCCATGACTGTAGCCATAACAGGATCCAAACCAGGAAAGGTATTCCAGTCTGGTTGCTTAGCTTCCTTGTATGGCATTCCCAGCGTGTCCTCATACTGTTTCAGAAGCCACATGGCGTTTGCTGACACATGTCTCGCACGAGGCGAACAGAGGTGTGGGCACTTTGGGCTTTCTGACCATGCCTCCAAGAAATAGTCGAGAAGGCTTTGGTACATCCCGCCACGAATATCCATCGACTCCTGCTTCCTGCCGGTGGCCCGGTAGAGAGCCATGTTGGCGTCGCCACCGATGAGGTCGACTTGGTAGTGCAAACAGTCGATGAACATGTTGCCCAACACTTCATGAGCCAACGCCACCTTGTCTGCCGCCGCGTCGTTGTGGAGGTGGAAGACACAAACTCTCAGCCGGTCGGATCCAGCTCGCTCCAAGACCTTGGTCAGTGACTCATCTGGAACATCACCACGACTGCCCTGGAGACCGGTCGGTAACGTCATGCCATACACGATTTCCGCGACCATATAGGTTATTGGAAGGGACTCGTGGGCATATCCACTGAGAGTGGAGCCGGCAAGACGGGTGATCGAAGATCCGACACCATTTGTACGACTTCCCACCATCAGGTCCTTGGACTCGTTACGAAGGAATTGCCAACCGCGTGACTTGAGGAAGGCCTCTTCGGAGTCATCGATCTGAGCCGCTTCGCAGAGCATGAACAAATGCGTCTTCGACTGTGCAATCGATTTTATCAAGGCTCCTTTAGATGGTGTAGCATCGTCCCAGTCAATGTGATCAGCAACGGAGCGAGGAGCGGTACGCTTTCTTCCCCTGCTCATGTTGCCGAGATTGAGGATGAGCGCGGCATACTTGGTCTTGCTGGTGAAGATAGGGACATTGGAGTCCTCTGCCAGACCAAAACGATGAATATAAGGATTCGGCGTCTTCTCAAGAGAGAGGTCCCCGATCTCCTCTTCATCGACTCCGGCGCTCAAGAAGTAGTGAATCATAGCATTCAAAAGTTCTTCTCGAGTTGCCGGATTGCCGCTTGCATCCAGGGACTTCAGCTTATCAAGAAGTGCTTCCATGACTTCCAGTGCTGATTCTCGGATGTCAGAGGCCTTGCCCATGAGCTTGTCGTCCAAGGTGCTACGAACGTCCCCAGAACGAAAAGCAACGTTCTTCTTGTCGGGACGACGCTCATAGATGGGATCCATCTTGTTGAGTTGGTCGAATAGATCCACCATAGAGAGAGAGTATTTCTGTCCCTTGTGGTTTGGAACATTTACCCTCCAACTCATATGCTGCACCTTGTAGGCGAGAACGGGCTCGTAATCAGGATCACGAAGTCCTGTATGATACAAGCCTGAATAGCCATATCCATGCAGCTGCTTGCAGAGCATCCGCATAGGGCTTTGTCGTTCGATTTCGGTGAGCTGCGTAAGGAAATGTTTGAACTCTTCGAGATCGACGAGCTCGATCTTTTCCTTTGCTTTGCCCATCTTGTCGAACGCGTTCTCATTCTGGTCCTCTGCATCCTTCGCGGCCTGGTAGTACTCAGGATCCGGAACAGTCTTGCATTTCCCCCAGATGCCTTGATCGTGAAGTTCACTTTCATCATCCTTCTCGGGAGAAATGTCTGGCATGGATTCCTCACCCTGTGGTGAGCCTTCCTCAGCCATTCGACGTTCTCGGACTTACCTC